ATGTCTTGCTTAATGTTTATATGTTAGGAAATATGGGTTGATCTTTACAATATGGTAACTGGTAGTTTGGTGACATTTTGGAGGCGATAAGGTTATACCTGGGCTTGGTATTATGTGAGCAGTCTATTCCCTTACGCATTATTTTGCGTAGGAAATGAAGATCATGATGTAATGTGTATTAATGACGAATTACGTTCTTAATCGAAAAGGGGGAAATCAAAAAAATGTGGAAATTTTGTATTAGCTTATCTGGTTGTGTGAACAGTGTTGTTAATTTTGGATCCCTGCCCCTAATAAGTGAATCGAAATGGTATTTAGGTTGATAAGAGAGTTTGCTTTTATTTAGCGGAGGAAGTGGATGAAAAATTCGCAGAAAAAATTTTCAAAATTTTATTGAATGAATTAGAAAGGATCGCCACGTAATCAGATTTGAAGAAGATTAGGTAAGTTAGTATTTTTAATTATTGAGGATATAGTTTATGCATTTTCTAATGTAAGGTGAAGGAATTGGTATTTTGGAAATTGTTTTAGCAGTGATTTAGTTAAGTAATTAGGATTGTAGGTAAGTTTTATTATTAATGTAGTGCTCATTTATTTTCGTAGTGTTTTTGACTTAATTATATTATTAATTGGAGTTTTTTGTGAATTTATGTTTGTAGAATTTGGTATACGTTTAGTTGAATAACGTGCAGAATAATAAATATTGACAGTAAGTATGTAATGGTTCGGTATAATGCGTTTGGCGTTTATATATAATAGATGATTTAGAGGTGAAAGTTTTGGATTTTTATTTTTTTATATGTGGAAATGTTCATAATGGGAAAGGGTAAATACTTTTTCGCGATCAGGAATTTCATATATTTTTTTTTACCGGTTTAAAGATTGAGAAAATTGTCATGTAAATTTGAAATTTTTCTATTTTAGAAAAAAGCATGTACATGATATAGTGAAGAGTGTGCGCAATGCCATTTTGGCAATTCTGGGATTTTTTTTTAAGTAAAAATAAGTCGGCTGGTACATGGTTTATGTGTATGTATTATTTGAAAAACGTAAGGAGTATGGTATTGTGCAATTTTTCCCAATTTTGCAGTGAATATTTGTCATGATTAAGCAGTTTGTTTGATAAATTTCTAGCATAAGTGTACTTCGGCTACTAGATTGTTGGAAGAAGTGTTCAGTAGATAAAAAGAAAAGAAACATGTCTTTGCTTCGTGAAGAAAATGGCGGCGGGGAAAAAAAAATAGAGGGTTGCTGTTGAGAGTTGGTTGCCAAATTTTCGCCAAAAAATCGCCAAGTTACCATAATGTAAAGATCAACCGAAATATGTATTTTTGCTTATTTATTACTCTGTTTGTGTATTTGTGGTTATTGTTAGTTAAATAGTGCCAAATTTTTTCTGCTTAACATGATAGTTTTAACTTTGTTTTAGCTTCCTGATTTTGTTTAAGTAGATTGATGTGTACATGGACAAAGTTAAGGCAGTGTGCAATGCCTATTTTGTGCAATTCTCTGACTTTTTTTAAGCTAAAATAGGTCGATGTGTACATGGATACTGAGTTTGTGTAAGCCTTTGACTTCTTGTTTCCGTTTTGTAACGGGCGGAAGGATTGGCACCATCTTGAAATTGGTGCCGATCCTTCCTGACGCCCTTGGTGTCAAAAAAGAAATTATTTGCCTAGGGGTACCGTAGAGTAAATTGTAACCAAAACTAATTCTTGAGGATAGTTTCCTCATTCAATTATTTTTCTAGGAATTCAGCCACTGCTTTGCCAACTTTACCTGTAATCCACTTGCTGCTTCTCGTGTAATATGTATGCTATGAAGATTATTTCGATGTTTAAATCTATTAAACTATTTTAAACTTGCAACAAAAGTTTCAGTTGTGTTACCCATTTCAATCTGAATGTGTTTTAAAATTCTTGTTACTTTTTCCATTATGATAGCTTGGCTTAGTGGCATATTGTATTCGATTTCATAATCGATCCATATCGAAGGTCATTTTTCCATCTCCTCTATCGTATTACTTCTAGAATGGGTTATTCTAGTTGCAGAGGTTCTTGTAGTTGTAGTTACTGATGACACTATTTTTTCTTTATTCTTGAAAAGTATCCTTATTGTTGAAGTTGGCAAGTTCAATGCTATACCGATTTTGACACTGACATTCACCACTATCTAATCTTCTAAGCACTTCATTTTAGTTTCTAGTAAAATGCTTTTTCTTGTCACTTTACTTACATCACTTTACATCACTGTTTCTTATTATCACCCATATTAAAAACTAAAAATTTATAATATTTATCATTATTTCGATCATTAGATCACATAAATTTATACTTATAATGACAACTACAAATGTTTGAAATAATAAAAAAAGTTTGTGTAACACTGGAGAGAAGAAGTAATGCAGATAAATTACTTTTGATTTCTGGAAAGCTCAATGCTGCATGCAGTTTTTAGGGAATCCCACTATTCCAATAAAAATGCTTTAAACAAAACATCATTAAGTGGGGTCATGTTGTATGTATGTGTTCACGTATGCAGGTATGGACATACATGAGTGTATATATACACACCTCAGCTCCATTAACAAAAGAGTAACTAATAAATTTCTATCGGAAATATTATTTCGCTCAAAATCAAGGTAAGGAAAAAAACTGCCTACCCCATTCTCACAAAAAGGTGGAATACTTGTTTCACTATTTCAGTTAATAGTCATTCGAAGCATTTTAAAACTCATTTATTGTCTTTAGCAGGTAAAGCATTTTCATTCAGTTGAAAGGAAATGTTTATCTTTTAATTACTTGAATTCAGAACATATTTTATTTTCATTAACATTGAAAAATGAGCATGAACAACACACCATGAAAACTATAAATGGAGTTAATTAATTTACACTGTGATATAAATCTTATGCAAAGATACATTTTATTAACTTTCCTTTGCACATGTGAAAAAATAAATACACTCTGTTACGAATTTTTGCACTATGAATAATTGTTTGAGGATATATTTTTATGAAAAATTTTTTTAGGCTTAGAAATTATTATTGAACCTGATTGACCAATCAGCATCTACAATCTACGATGAAGCTAATTTCTAGTGCCCACCAGTGGCCGAGCGGTAAAGTCGCTGAACACTAGTAGTTCGGTCCGAGGTTCAAATCCCGCGAACGGGCTGGCCGCATGGGCGTTTTCGTGGTTTTCCCCATGTGTAACGTGTATACGAGCCAGTTTCCCTTAGAAAGTCCTCCACGAAGGCATCCCTCCCCTTAGGCAGATAGCCCTCATGTGCTTTGCCATAATTAAAAACAGCCACAGCTACAGCAGCTAATTTCTAGTAATTTTTCTCCTGTTCATAGACATTATGTAAACAAATTGGTACTGTTCTGTTATTATGACCGAATTCAAAAATGTATGTGCATGTGTATGTATATATATGTATACACACATATATATTCATACTTATGTATATAATGTGTGTATATATGAACACATTCATCCATTCGTATAAGCATACATACATATATTTCTGAATCCGGTCCTGATAGCAGAACAGTATCCATTAAAATGTTTAAAATAAATTAAATGGTTGATCTTTACATTATGGTAACTTGGCGCTTTTTTGGCGAAAATTTGGCGACCAACTCTCCTACAGCAACCCTCTATTTTTTTTTCCCACCGCCATTTTGTCTTCACGAAGTAAAGACATGTTTCTTTTCTTTTTATCTACTGAACACTTCTTCCAACAATCTACTAGCCGAATTACACTTATGCTAGAAATTTTATCTAACAAAACTGCGTAATCATGACAAATATTCACTGCAAAATTGGGAAAAAGTGCACAATAACATACTTCTTACGCGTTTTTCAAAATAACACATACACATAAACCATGTACACACCGACTTATTTTTACTTAAAAAAACATCCCAGAATTGAACAAAAATGGCATTGCGCACACTCTTCACTATATCCATGTACACTGCTTTTTTCTCATAAATTAGAAAAATTTCATGAAAACACATGACAATTTTCTCAATCTTTAAACCCGGTAAAAAGAACATATATGAAATTACCTGATCGCGAAAAAGTAATGAACATTTCCACATATAAAATAAATAAAATATCCAAAAACTTTTACCTCTAAATCATCTATTACATTATACACATCACCAATGAATTCATACCGCAACCATTACAAATACTTAGTGTTAGATATTTAAATTATTTCCATACACGTTTACTTCAACTAAAACGTATACCAAATTCCTACAAACATAAAATTCACAAAATAACTATCATTTAATTAAAATATAATTAAATTCAAAAACACTACTTAAAATATAAATGAGCACATACATTAAATTAATACATACATAAATACCCATTTCGAATTCACTTTAGTTACGGCCATGGGGATCCAAAAATTCACGAACACTGTTTCACAAAACAGAATAAAGCCAAATACAAAATTTCCAGATTTTTTCCGGATTTCCCCCTTTTTCCGATTAAAGAACTGTAATTCGTCCATTAATATCACATGACATATCCCATGATCTCTCATTTCCCTCACACAAAATAATGCGTAATCGGAACTGAGTACTGCTCACATTATTACCAAAGTGCCAGGTAGTAACCTTTATCGCCTCCAAAATGTCGCCAAACTACCAGTTACCATATTGTAAAGATCAACCAATTAAATTTAAGTAATATAGTATATTTTATAAATTATTAAAAAGTGGTTGAAAACATAGCCTTAGTTACTTGGAACTTGTTTGGCTTAGATTGTTCTTGTACATAAAATTGTTATCCCTAAATTTTCAGATTATTGCTGTTCATCTCTAGATTTGAGCTAGCAATCTCTATTGCTGTGAAAAATGTCATCGAAGCTGCCAAATCATGTTACCGTATTCTAAAAATCAGCCCTTTTTTTTAATCATAATTTCTTATTATTGGATATGGGTGATAATTCAGTCAATAAAATTATTTGTTTTATTACAGATTCATTTTAATTATGGTGGGAAGACGTAAACGTCGAATTAAAAAGGAAATAGATCCAACACTTGCAGAGAAGAAAAAAGTGATAGAAAAACTCTGGCAAAATTTTCGTCAGGATGCTGAAAGTTATAGAGCTCATTTAAAAGCGTGCTGTGATAGGGAATGTGACAGAATAAAGAAAATGTATGATGACAAAATTACAGCTATGCCAGCGCATTTGCGGAAAATGACTATTGCTGAAATTATAGCCCTACAAGAAAAAGAAAATTCATATAATCCTGTGGCTTCAAAACAAGAAACTGCTTATCGTGAGCAGTAAGTATAAAACCTTTGTAAGATATTTGTTTCTTTTCTTTATTTTGATTGCATCCATACTCAAATTGCAGATAACAAATATCTTAATATAAATTTATTTAATTATTTTATTTTATATCTTAGTGTAAAGTTAAATGTGTGTTTCTGTTCTTTTCATAGCTTTGAAAATTTGTGCATAGATTTTCATTCTACAGAAAGTACTGCTTATTTGATGACATTTATCGTAGGCTATTTTGATAACATTACATAATGAGAAAAAATTATGCTTCAAAATTGCAATGGAATTTACCTTATTTATATGACTTCAGATTTTAATTAGAAAACAGTTATTAATAGCAGAATGTTGATAAGGTTACTGGTTATAAGCCAGCTTGGCATGTTTTTAAATAAATCGCCAACTTGCCAGATCGTTGCATTTTGACGGTTGCGATTTTGAACGGAACCTGTAAACATATAAAAAAAGGTGAAATCTGCAAAGAAAGTGGCAGTGAAGAGAAACCAAAAATTATTGTATTTTAAAGCAAAGTAACATGTATGTTATAATTTTATCTATATTAAGAATTTTAAATGCTACCTATCTCTTATTTAAAAACTGGAGCAACAAAAAAGAAAATTGTTATATCTCGATGAAAGAACAGTAGTATTTCATATTTAAAAATCGACTGACACAGTTAAAACGAAGCTAAAAACGAGATAAAAATTCTAGCTCAGTAAGTCACAATTATGTTTAAACACAAATGTAACGTCTCCTTCTTCATAAGCTCCACAGCCTGTTACAGGCTTAGGCTGTCTCTCCAAGTTTCCTCAACCTGACCACATTCGGCACAATAGCCCTCCATCAGTTAACTCCAATTAACCTTAAATTGTTATCCCTAAATCCCTTTGTGTTAACCCTAAATTGTGCCCGATGGTGCTAACCTTAAATTTTCCTTGACACCATTTTTTTCATCTAGTGGGTGGTCTTCCTTTTAGTCTTACTCCCTCAGTTTTCGAAAATATTATCTTTTTGGTTGGAAATGCATTGTGGACTGTAACACTTTGAGTGTTACAGTCCACAATTCTTCAAGAAAGTATCAAAGCATTCATTCCATTGTATTCCTGATTGCTTTCAGCCATACAAGCTTTTCTTTAAATGGCACACTAGATGCTCTTTACCTTGCTCTTGAGATCCTTCAGGTTGTGCCATATGTATGTCTTCCTTGAGTAAGCCATTTAGATAGGCAGCAGTGATGTCCATTTGATGAATTTCTATTTGTAACTCGACAGCAAGGGCTAGAAGGATTCTTATAGATTTTATCTTTACAACAGGGGAGAAAGTCTCTGAAAAATCCCTACCAGGGACTTATGGGTAGCCTTTAGCTACTAATCAAGCTTTAAATTTGATTGTCTCTCCTTCTGCATTTGTGTTTTCTTTAAATACCCATTTGCATCCTATGGGTTTGATGCCTACTTGGCTTTGGAACCAATTCCTTATGTCTAGTTTTCGTACAAATTAGTAAAATTTCTTCTTTCATGGCTTCTTACCACATCTCCGCATTTGGTGAATTCATTGCTTCTTTTACACTTGTTGGGTTCTTACAGATTTTGATGGCAGGTTGTTCTTCACAAGCAGCTTTATATAACACTGGATCCCCATAGTAAGTCTTAGGTCTCCTTTCTCTAGTGCTTTTCCTGATTCCAATAGGGTCTTCCTTGCTACTCTCAGAATCTTCCGGGAATGCTGATTCTGTGTCTTCAATTTCTTCTGCTTTGTCATTTAATGGGGTTTCAACATCTTCAACTCCTGTGGTGGTGCAACTGATAGGTACTTCTAATGGAACAACATTTATTTCACTGTCGGAATTGTACTCATGATTTAAGTTAAAGATCACTTCATTTTCCTTCTTTGCTTGAGTAGATGTCTGGTTCCTTCTCAATGGAAAAACAATCTCATCAAATTTAACATTTTTGCTCACTAAAAACTTATCTTCCTCTGTAATCCATAGTTTGTATCCTTTCACACCTTCAGGATAGCCTATAAAGACACATTCTTGAGCACGCTTTCCTAGCTTTCCTTTCTGTAGCATTTTATGAATTTGAGCAAAAACTCGACAGCCAAATATTCTCAGATGACTAATTTGCACAGGCTTCTTGGTCCAGAGTTCTTCAGGTATGTTTCCTTCAGTAGCTTTTGACGGACACTTGTTGAGCAAATAACAGGCAGTAGTAACAGCATCTGCCCACAATATATTCTTGTGGGATGTTGTAATCTAGGGGAAGACATCTAGTCCTATCAAATAGAGTATGGTTTATTTTTTTCTGCAACTCCATTTTGTGGTGTCCAGGGAATTGTGAGTTGTCTTGTTATTCCACTTTTAGTTAGGAAACATCAAGTTCATTGTTGGCATATTTCTCTCCATTTTCGCTTCACAGAGTACTGATTTTGAGTTCATGTAAATTTTCAACATTTGCTTTATATTCCATGAATTTTTCAAGGACCTTCATCTTTAGATTTCATAGTTTTAACCACAGCATACCTTGAGTAGCCTTCAATAAAGGTAATGACGTACTTTGATCCACCTTTTGATGTAGGTGTGATAGGTCCAATTACATCAGTATGTATCAACTGAAGTAATCTAGTTGAACGTTTGGCTCTTTCCTTGAGAAATAGTCTTCTTCATTTTCCCCAAAACACATATTGAACAAACAGTCCCCTTTTCTTGGATTTCTTCACACATCATATTCAAATCATACCTTTTCATAAGTTTCTTAACTGCATCATGGTGGAAATGTTCTAATCTTCTAAATGCATAATTTCTTCATGTCTGGAAAGGTATATTTTGTGCATTTGCTTCTCTTCAATTTTGTATAATCTTCCATACCTATGTGCAGTGAGAATGACCTTATCTTGTTGTCTTGGATTTTTTATGATTGCTTTGCCCCTCTCAAAGGAAACAGTCATTCCCATTTCTTCTGTTCTTCCCACTGAAAGAAGGTTACCATCAAGATCAGGGACATACAGATGATAGGGATCAGGGAAAGATGCTAGATGAATAGCATCTTTCCCACATTCTCTAACAGGATTCAAAACAATGTCTCCCATGCCAGAAACTTCAATATTTTTCAGAATTGGCTATCTCAACTTGTGATTTCACTGAAGTTAAATTCATAAATTTCTGCTCTTGAGAACATATATGTTCAGTGGCTCTGCTATAGAGATACCAATCACAGACAGGTTTCCCACGGCAAGAGTCAGCAAGCAGTGCTTGATATACTTCATTAGAAACCCCTTTTGCATGTGGCGTTTTAGCAGCAGAACAATTTTTGGTAATAAGCCCCACATGAACGTGTTTTTTTCTGTCAGTATTTTTATGCTGTTTCTATAATGGCTGTGTAGTTTTAGTTCTGTACTTATCTCAAGTTTTGAGGGCCTTTTTCTCCTATGACCTTACTGGTAACAACTCCTGTTTTCACTTCTGTGTAGTGCAGTAACTTTTTCTCTTCAAGTATGAGACGCGATTTTACGATTTGATTTGACAACATATCTTCTTCACGTTCTAAATTAAGGATAAGACCTTCATACTCCTTAGGCAAACCCATTAACATAACACTTCTCTGTCCGCAGGACGATACCTTTCGGTGAAGATCTATCAATTGGCTTAGATAAGAACTGATGCTTTCTCCTGGTTTTAAAGTTACATTAAAAATTTCCTTTAAAAGTTGTAGAGAATGCAAGAGTCCAAATTTTGTATGGATGTCTTTTAAAGTATCCCACACTTTTTTTGCTCTTTCACAGTCAGCGATGTCATCTAAGAACTGGTCTTCAACCACTAACAATAGGAAGGTTAAGGCTTTCTCATTAATTTTCTTTTCGTCATTCTTTAATTCAGCATCATAACCTGGATCAATCGCTTCCCAACAATTTTTTTTAACTAACAGCTCGTGCTCAGATTTTCCAAGCATTGTAATTATCTCTGTTGAGTTTCTAAATCTTGAATTTCTTCCATCGGATCACTTTCAACATCTTAGGCTTAGCTTCGATGGCGCTGTGGATGTTGCTTCTTTTCTTTCAGAAAAAACCAAAATTCTTCATTTCTGCCAAATAAACTTCTTTAGAACATATTAAGCTGATAACGTGATAGAATTCACTTAAATGGCAGATATATTTTTGAAATATAGTAGAAAGAGAAATAATCAAACCACAAATGTATGTTACATGTTTATTTACTTCACTAACTGTTGCCACTCAGCAAAAAAACAAAAAGCTACACATGAATTTTAAGGAGCATAGAGTCTATAATTATAGCATGGCTTTGGCAGATACATCATAAAAATAAAATAAAACTTTATTTCTAACATTTTGTAAATTTCTGAAAAAGATGCAATAAAGTGGAGTAAAAAAATACCCCCTCCCCTCCAAAAAACATTCGGACACGGCCGCACAATATAGCGACACATTTACCTGGTGTCAAGTGGAGCTTTAGAAACTTGAAAATGCCAACTGAGTGTTTGCAAATTTTTAATGATGAAATAAAGAAGATTTGGGGAAATAACAAATATTTACATTTGATCAATAAGAAGCAAATTCTCTAGAGAATGTGATGCACGAAAGACAAATGAAGTTGAATTGAAGGCATTTTTTGGCCTATTTTATTACGCTGGAGTGTTAAGAGCGGCACATCTCAGCGCAAAAGATTTGTAGCCAACTGACAGAAGCAGAATAACTATTTTACAAATAAGAATGTCTATTAATCGATTCCACTTCCTGTTGAAGTGCGTTAGGTTTGATGACATAAATTCACGAGCAGAACGAAAGATAATGTATAAACTTGCACCTATTACAAATGTTCTTTTAAAAATTTATCAAAAACCTAAAAAAAAAATATTCTTTATCTGATTGTACTATAGACGAAAAATTAGAGCCCTTTTGAGGTAAGTGTCAATTCAGACAATATATAAAAAGTAAGCCCACAAGATATGGAATAAACAGGGTTTGTACGGTCCTTAAGAGTCCTTAAAAG